AGAAAATGGTGAAGCAGTCCTGTCTCTCAGGCGTGTCCTTTCCTAACAGAAATATCAAGAAACATATTATTGCAGAGGAAGTGTGTTTGTTTGTTCATAAATATAATGACTTTCTTATTTGAATGTGTTTTTTAAATCCAACAGTGTACTACAAAGATAATCAGTTTATGAATAAACCGTTCTAAATTCATCAACATTGAAATAAATGTATTATTCAAATAATATTTAACTGTTATCAAAACTTAGTGCAACTGTAGAAGCTTGCTCTGTTGTCTCACTGAAAGACAAAGGGTCGCAGCTCTCACTATGTTCAATAATATTTGCCTTAAATACATTGAAATGTGAAAGTTGAACAAAAAAGTGATGTTGCTTGGTAAAATGTAACCTTTAGCTAAGAAAGTGCTCTCAACATCACTGATGTGTAGGTGATCTAGTATTCAGTCATGTTTAATGGCATGTATATCAGTGTATTAGAGTAATTACTTTATGCATTCTTTGTAAAGTATGAAAAAGGTATATGCACCTTGTAATCCGTGCTGAAGTTCTCTGCTGTGATGAGTCCAGATCTGTCTCTCCTCCTCTGGTCCAGCCTGTCTGGATCACCTTGAGGACACTTTGAACAAACAGATGTAAAGTTACATGCGTGGCTTACAGACTTCTTTACATGCAAACTACTTTTTTATCTTCTTTTAAAAACAGGTCATAATCTTATTGTTATACTTAAGAAATTGCTGGATATCACAGTCCTTATACTGTATCAGTTTGATTGAGCATTATTGTGTAGGTCCTATTTATTTTACTGTTACTTTGGATGAGGTTTTCATGAGTCAGTCAAATTAATTTGTTTTCATGCCATATTCATATGTATCACACACCTAAGGGTAAGACACAAACCTATTGAACAAATGCAATGGATAAGCTTCATTTCCACTGAAGTCACAGATAACGTCATATCTACTATTTAAACATAATTTCCTTGTCACTAAAGCATTGACTACGCTATTCATCGTCCTTAAATGCAGGCATTAAGTTACATGTTCCGTTGTACAGCCACGATAAGGCTGTTTCTCAAGTGTGATGATAATACAATTAAAAGAGGCATTGGTAATAATATTAAAAACAACAATGTTTGGGTCGGATAGGCGGTTAGCTGCAATAAATAACTCCAGTTCAACAAACCATATTATAATATCTAAGGGAGCGTTATTTCTGGACCATCTTGAAATGTGACGTTCATATTTTAAAGATACACACATTTCATTGTGAGGTTGATTTAATATACACTAAGCCTCTCTTCAACAATACGTTGACGTTAGCTAGTCTATTTTATGCTATAGTAGAGCATAGAGAATTTAAATGAACCTTAACAATGCATACAGTAACCTAACTAGCAAACTAACTATCTAACGTACAAGGATGACCTTATTTTAGCAACCTCGCACAGAAGCCTTTTGGTATACAGTAGCATCCCACTTAATGTTTTACACTCTTGGATGCTACGCATAGCATCGTTAGCACAGATGGAGCTACGATTGCTCAAATGCTAACCCAACTCTAAACATTCTTTAACGTTAGCTTAATAAAAACACCAGTAACATAACATAAAGTACGCAGGGTTGACTTACCGAAGAAACTGCATTCATGGACGGTCTGTTTCAACCGCAGATAAATCCTATATTTGCATGACGAATAGTCCACCAGGAGCCAACACAACAAACACGGCCGAGTTCAAGTAGTGTTCTCCTCATGCGCTGAGCCGCTGTAGCATCACGGAGCTAATGGAGCTAGCAGAGAGGAGCTAGGAGCAGCAGTCCCGTTGTCATGAAGGGGGAATCTAACTATATACAGAATATGTTTTTGTGGATCCAGGCTAGAAACATGTTCATTTTCTGATGTTAAGTTGGACATTTTAACATAGGGTCTACGGGAATTGCTCCCATCTGCATCCATCGCCTACAGTTTGCAGCATTGGGCTTCACCGCACTGTCCCGGGGTTTGCCGCTTGGCTCTGATAGGCCAGAAGTCGGTTTGATTGCATTCGGACTCGATTGCTTATCCTGTCTGAGTAGCCCGGATGAGGCTGCATCGCAATTTTTGACGTCGAATTTTATACACCGAAATATTTAACATCGAATTTTAAACACCGAAATATTTGACGTCGAATTTTTTTCACTTGAATTTTTGGGATCTGAATTTGAACATTCGAATTTTTTTAACTTGAATTTTTACATTTTTATTTCACATAGGTAAATTCGGAGCAAAAACATTCGTATACATGATTTTCAAAGTAATTATTTTCAATGCTATAAATTCGGTGTCTAATAAAATTCAAATACTTCTGTCTCTTGTTTGCTTCCATAGCTGAACACACACGGCTCTTATTAAACGGCGCTTTCTCACCGGAGTACTTTCCCCCGTCATTCTTAAAGTACCGATACTAATGAAACGGAGGAATAGTAACGTTTTTAACGGCAGGGTATCGCGGTACCTTTCAAGTATTGGTACACCGTGCAACACTAGTCAGGAGTCAGTGTCTCTCCCCCAAACTCACACATATACAATTCGATATGAACTGAAGAGCCGCATGAAACTAGGCAAAGAGCCGCATGCGGCTCGAGAGCCGCGGGTTGGCCACCCCTGAGCTAGAGGCTATGCTTGCTGTGCCAGATGCGTGGCTGTGGAAACCAAAGGTATATCCTGAGAGAAATATGTGTTAGCGTGTCACAGTTCAAGCTCTTGCATCTGGAGTAATTAGAACTCAAGAGCTTCTTTGCAGGCAATATGTTAGAGATTATAAGAATACTTACATTAAACCCCATAAAAGTAGACACTTAAGAATTTGCTTTGAGGTGTTTTGCAAAGGTATAAAGCTGTCACATGCTTAATATTATAAAACTGCAAATTATGTAATTTAACAGGAGGACTGAGATCACTTTTACCCTGTTTTGTATTCGAAACGAAAACAGATGAATAATAGTCATAAACATAGACCTCTATTAATATAGGTTTTTACAAAGATTTAATATAGTACTTTTCCAAGTCTTCTGATCACTCAAAGTGTGTTAACACTACCTGCCAACAATCAAACACTGATGGCATAACAAGTAGCCAAAATCATCTTCCAATCAAATGCTCATTCACACATGCACTCACGCATCTGTGGTGTAAATGTCTTGCCCAACGACACTTCAACATGCAAACTGGATTGAACCGCTAGTCTTCTGATTGGTGGATAACCCGCTCTATCTGAGCCTGGCGCAAAGTCGTCCCAAACTGGTATACCACTACTAGTAAAGGCACAACCTTAATCCTCTAAAAGGATTAGCCTGATTACCTCAGCATAGATCTCTGCCCTACGCATCAAATGACACTCTTTGATGGAAGCATCACATGATCCTTGTCCTACAGTATCAGTGAATGTGTTTGTGTGGCACGGTGCATGGCAGATTCAGTCCAGACATGAGCAAACTTAATTGAATTCCTAACATATTAGATTGTGGGCAAGCCTTTATTTCAAAATCAAAACCTGCTTATGTTGCGGTTAAGACATGCCTTCAGCCCGTTGGGGTCATAGGGGAGTCAACTCTATGCTGCAACAATAACTGATGAGGTTATTTAACATGTGACAGCCTGCTTTAACAGGAGAGGTATGTACCCAGGGCCGTCCCTGGCCAACTTGGGGCCCCAAGCGACATTGTGAGATGAGGCCCACTGACAGTGAAATTTTTTTTGGGAAACAAAGTACTTTGCAAATATAATTCCTGTTTATTATTATTATCAGCACAGTTACTTTTTTATACAGTGAGGTAAATGGTAAATGTGCATGTATGTCGTTCAGTATGTGTTTACAAGTGAATACGTCTGCATTTCCTGCCAAATACTAGCCTCAAAAAGATTAAAATATAATGAATGCAAATAAACTGCTTCTACTAATAATAATAATAATAATAATAATAATAATAATCAATTCAATAATATAAATACTATATTATTTTATTATAATATAGTGGTAATATAGTCAAGACAAAACATGCTTATTACATGCAAAAAAACTGATATTTCTTAAATCTGTATTCAAATGTAGTTCCCTCTGTCAGCAATGTATCAACAACTACACATACATTTCTATCAGTATTTCTCTGTGGTTGACAGAGATATACATACTTCCTGATTACTGTTAGGAGTTAAGGTGAGAGGCTGAGCATCACCATGAAATGTGCAAATTGACTTAAAAATGAATAAAAGAGGAAAAAATGCTCAATTTTTTAAGGCTGTAAACTTTAACTGTTATGTAAGACAGTTTTTCACTCTTCCTCCTGTACATTAGCAGATAAAAGGCATAAAATACTTGAATGAATGGGGTGCGCGGAGAACTACGCTGAGAACTGCACTGAGAGCTGCGCACAAGCCGAGCTCATAAGCCGAGGCCCCCTGTGCAATGTGAGGCCCCATGCAGCCTGCATGAGCGACCTGTAGGGAGGGACGGCCCTGTATGTACCCCTGCATGCATATCGCCGGTGTCTTTGCTTGTGGCCTCTGGTTTTGAATGCACTGCAGTTGTGTGATTTTTGCTAAAATTCTTCATTTTTTTAAAGTAAAGTTATTAAATAATTATTTTTGTTGTACAGTCCTATTGTGAAGGAAAATACTCCAAAAGGACGCACAGCAGGCCTTTAAAGCCAGAGGGGTTATGTAAGGACCCCTTCCTGGAGCAGTTAGATGATTGAGCCCTATTCTGAGTAGTTTAGTTTGTTTATCCAGTGCAAGTTTAAAAATGACACTTCCTAATCTCTTTCAGTCACTATGAAGTTGCCAGTATCATAAATCAAAAATGTACAAAGCAAAACTTTACAATTTTATGTAATTTTGTTAATGTTTTTATTCTTGACAACACATACTATACATTGGGCTATGTTTCAAATATTACGGAACACAGTTTAGTAAGGTACCCAAATCGTTAGCAAAATCCAATATGAAAAAGATGATATTGACAAGTGCCAAGTCATATTTCATATGTATATAATACAGTAATAAAGTAAGATACATTCATGTGCAAACTCCTCACTGATGATGGTAAATCAGAGTTTTATTCATGTTTATTCCAGAAAACAATATACACCTGGAAGACATGTTAACACAAAGACATGTTCACATTCAGAGTGCCTTTGCCTCTTAAAAATCCCTGTCCTATTTAGCCCTGCAAAGTTATTTTTGAAATCTTGGCAAAATACTACAAGTATATATGTTTTAAATATTGTATCACATCTGAAGATGTCACTTTGTACAAACCCTGGATATATAAATAACTTGTGTACAGATCAAACCAAAAAAGTGCTACAAAAAAAGTACTTAAATTAATACATTTGTACATGTTAATACAGCATGCATAAGTGTCTATAGTTACAAAATGATTGATTGCACCCGTATCTTGGACATCAGGGTTCTTTCACCAACTGGATGTTACATTATTTAACAATCCTCAAACAATACTGATCTAATAAAGATGTCTTGTTCATTTGCCATGGCCCAGAAGAATAACTTTAACAATAACATATTGTCTTTTGTTGCTCTCCATCCAACCCTCCAAAAACCTTTCTTTCTTCTTCAGCAGCCAAACTCTGTGTTTATTCTACATCATTTTCCTCTTCATCTTCCACACCAGCCAGCTCTTTCTCTGGCAGCAGGCCATAGCTGTTGAGGAAAGCTTCCACATCAGTGGCGAAGAACTCCCCGGTGAGGTGCTGTGTGCAGGCCAGGAAGTTCCCTAGTAGGTCTCCAGCTTTGTACACCAGCAGTGTAGGCAAAACCTCATCTGAGAATCGCTCGGCTGCGCCGGAGGAGACAGCATCAATCCTGCAGAACTTTACACTGGGGTATTCAAGTGCCAGGCAGTCAAGGCAGTTGTTGAGCTCCTCACATCCTTTGACTCCAACCTTATAGATGTGGACCACCACCACTGTGCTGTAATGCTCCTTCTCGATGACTTCTAGAAAGGCCTCTCCACTGTCCAACTCATGCACACCTTCAAACCGAGGCCCAAAGCTGAGTTTATCATGCATCTCCTGCATGCAGCGTTTCCTGTATTTCTTTAGACATCCCTCATCCTCCTCCTTAAGCAACTCGTACTCTTGGACACTCATCTAAAAAAAAAAGGGGGGAAAAGTGTTAGAATTGATATTGGCTACATTTATTATCACAATTACATGTATTATATTACATTATGTTGGCTGGCGTTTTCAAAATAAACACGAAGAAGCTTTCAAGACTATTTTTGCCATAAATCTGAACCAATGCACACAATTGTAGCTGTATCCACAGCATCCAAAGACCATAACCAAAAGCAAAGTAAAAGTCTGCCTTCTGTCATTTGTCTGGTTGTACCTTGCGGTTTAGGGCTGATCTGCCGTCTTCTTTTGGCTTGCCTGGGGTTGACATTTGTCTCAGCAGTTCCTTTTTTGCAGGCGGTAAGTTTTCCTGGTCCATACTTTCCAACTTAAACCTCCTCCAGTCATTGATGACTCCTTTAGGACCTTTGGAGAAGACACATTACATTTTGTTGTTAGTTATGAAAGAGTCTATTGCATGTTTTAAATTACTTCTTAAGACATACTTATTTCTGAATGAATTTCTAAAAATAAATGACTGTAATTATTCAGTTTAACAGTCAATAAATTGGCTAATGGAGAAATGTTTTCGAAGCAGACACAATTCAATCAGAAGGAACTTCCTATATAAAAATAATCCACTTTACTCTCAAGGCCCACATAATTAATAGTATGTGGGATTTCCAGCTGGATAACTGGTTCATTCATCTGTAAAAAACTTGGTGCAGATAAAGTTTGAGTCATGAGTCATTGTTGGGTATGGTGCTTCAATTTTGGGATTAAAGCGTCATCTCAGATGTAGTGCACTATTGCTCCACCGTTGCGTAACAAAAAGAAGATTAGAGCTGTGGTTAAACTGTCAAAGCTCTACAGGTCTGTAGTCTGCTTTGGTCTTCCTGTCAGGTGTTTAGAGTCAATTGCTCAGTAGTCATCGCGTATGACCTTCTGTCTGTAAGGTTGTTTCTAGTGAAAGCTTCTTAATGATCAAATAATGAACTTTGTTTTTGCAAAGACACATTGTTTATTACTGAATTTCTCCACGGGTATTAATAAAGGTCCATCTTATCTTATCTTATCTTGTACTTAGATACATGGTTTGACGAGAACCATTCCCCCGGCAGATAAGCACAAAGAGAGGTCACCAAGTTCTAAAAATATCCACAGGCTTATGTTTGAAAACACTGCTTCCACTCACCTGTTTTGGTTGCGAACTCTTCCATTTCAAGCAGTCTGTCCGACATTTTTCTGGTGAGTTAGCTGTAAGATAAAAACTTGAGAATCAGACAACAGGAGGTAATTCATATGATGTGGTTAGTTTATACATGATGGGGGCTTTGGATGTTTGGATGAATAATTATTGAAATTTAAGTTTAATAGCCTGCATCAATAATTGTTCTCCATAAGGCTATTGTTTTTCTACTGACTTAAATTGCAATGTGACAAAGTGAGTGCCATGATATTTAATTAAATGAGTGCAGTCTAAGAGGATTACTGAGCTGCAACAAATCTGTCTCCTGCTCGCTTTAAGCCCCTTAGGGACACTGTATGAAGTTGGAAAACATTGAATTGGCAATAAAGAAACCTGGAACAACAACGATGACAACAACAACAACAACAACAACAACAACAACAACAACAACAACAACAACAATGATGTACTAATTTAATTCAAATAATATGTTTGTGTGTATGTAAAACTTTAAGAGAATTTGTTTCTACATTGCAGAAAAAAAGATTATTGAAAATAAATAAAATATAGGATCCTATTATATCGGATTAGTATAATGAATACTTATAATTATGTTACATTTGTATAACTTTTAATTTGCAATAACTGCTAAAGATTTAAAACTAGTCACTCTGGGTCCTACACTGCTTTGTAATGAGGTTAGTTTGAACCAGTTGTTTGTGACGTATGCAGAGCTAATATCTAATTGGATAAAAGGACCGATCCACAGCGTTCCCATTAGCTTCATTCTCCCTGCATGCAGTCACGGTGCTGATCTGGCCAGGTGATCTTTGTGGCCATCTTTACAATCCCCAAATCCTGTGTAATCGATTTGCCGAGATTGACATGAGCAAATGAAGTTCCATATAATGGTTTAAACTTATGAATGTATGTGTGTGTGCAAGAGTTGCACAATAAACTCTTTTATAACAGCTGACTTTCAAGTAGACCCATGACTATTCAGTAACGAAGAAAGAATCTTCTGTTCTCATTCTGTGCAAAAGGATTGACTTTGAAATGAAAAAATAAACTAATGTGGTTAAAACCTTTTCAAAACCTAGTGTTGTTACACTGTACTTGGCAAATAATGACCATAAAAACTCAAGACGACCCCTAAACTCAATCTCAAATCAATACATTTTATGTTCGTAAAAACATATAGACCGAAAAACGTATGTCCTATTTCATCCAATCACATATTAACACATTTCAATATTTAGTTCTAGATCAATCCACTTTACAATTTTTCAGAAATAAGAGTTATAAATTGAGTTTTTCTTACCTTCAACCGTCACAGTGAAGTCCTCCCTTTGTGTCAGTAGTTAACTTTGCACTGGTCCTCACTCGATCACTGAGATATCTCTTAGTGGATGGTGTGCGTTATTGTGTGCATGCGTGTGTCTTATCCAGCCAATGAGCTTGGTCTAATGAAGATTTCAAAGAAGTCCCTATAGACCCAACAGAAATAGAGCATAGATCCTAAGAGGATTTGACTTCAGGAATTAGAAGCCTCTAATTGATAAAGGCCTGACTACACACAAGGAAGAGAGAGAGAGGAAGAGAGTGAACTGAACACTTTAATTCAAAACTTTGAGAGTTTCTTCTTTTTTTTATTAAGATGATCTTATAAATCACTTGATTAGGCAGCTGGTAGCCTTGTATACTACTCTATTCAAGAGCAGAACAGAAGAGCTGTTGTGTTGCATTTCACAATTATAAACGGATCATTAAGAGTTAATTCAAACAATATATCCCTGAGATGAACTCTCAAATAAAGGGTTCTTGTCTAGAAGGAATGGTCTTCTAGGCACATAGCTTTGCATGAAAATGACCACATGACACACACACACACACACACACACACACACACACACACACACACACACACACACACACACACACACACACACACACACACACACACACACACACACACACACACACACACACACACACACACACACACACACACACACACACACACGCACATGCACACGCACACACACAAAACACAAAACACTGCTAGCTATGGGTGGAGGAAATCTTGTGATGTTTTATCATGTGCTTCTTGATTAGTGTTAACACAGAGTGTGTGTAGTGTCTTCTTCTCCCTAATTATTCTTTTACATTTCCTCACTTCCGCCAACATTTCTACAAAGACAGATAAGACATAGATAAGAGCATCTGTGCATCTTGTTGGTTGTGATAAACTGAAAAGTACTACAAATAACAAGAGCAAAGATAACGTGTTCTGGTTAGGTAAGTTTGAAGCCTGACTTATGCAAAAACGTTTTAATTATTTGATTGATTGATACAATCAGCTAAATGTGTTTCAAGAAAAAAGTTTACAGAAAAAGTTAAAAAAGAAAATTGCCCTTTTCAGAGTGTTATATCATTACATTCATGAATACATAATTGGAGTAGTTCATGTACATGTAAACAGCATACTGTTCTTGACTGATGTAAAAATGTGTAGTTTAATCAATAAAAAAACATGTTTTGTAAGCTGTTTTCCATCTTGATTTGCAAAGTAAATGTCAACTAACTGTAGTTGGTTTGGGGTATATCCCATGGAAATGTAGTGAGGTAGTAAGAAAAGATTTACCTGTTTTTCTGAATTACAGTAGATACCATAACATCCCAAGGGAACTTTACTCGAGGGCTTGATTTCAAAATAAACATGTCCCACATGTATCAGTTTAATCCAGTTTGTTATTGGTTTGGGTTTAAGACAATGAAAGAAAGTGTTTTTTGCAATGCAGATGGTATTGTAACCAGTACTCGAGTTGAGGGGGGATGAGGGGGGATGGCATCCCCCCTGAAATAAAAACGGTCAAAATCATCCCCCTTCTAAAACTGCCATCCCCCCTTTCCATCCCTTATGTAATTTTATCAATGAACGTGGCACTGGTATTACTGCTATTTCAACATTAATTGTGCGCATTTTGAGTAAAATACTGTGAGCGAGGGAGCACGCACACACGCAATGACATTTTTACCAAGTCACTGACGCTATACTATGCGAGTGCCCTAGAGGGCGCCAGAGCGCCGTGATGCGCCTGTTTGATCGATGCCAGAAGTGCAGGTAATCACAATGGCCAAGCAACCAGGAGGACAACGCGATCTGAGGGACTTCATATTTAAAAATACTAAAAATAACATTTTAGGTAAGTCAAGAGTCAATAATCTTAGTCATTACTCACTACTTTAGTCACCAACGGTGGAATCTATGGACATAAGCAGCAATAACAACTTAGTTTGGAGTTTAGCTACGTTTTTCTCGCGTGTTAGCTAGCTGGTCAGACTCAAAACTGTTGATGAAATGATACCACCAGCACCAGAAGAGCTGAAACCCCTCCTTCAAGCAGTGAACACTTTGGTCATCTCCACAGCTGAGTGTGAACGTGGGTTTAGTCTTAGTCAGATGAACATTTTAACCACAACTAGAAGCTCCCTGGAGGTAAAAAGCATGTCACCCTTGCTTTTCATCAAGTGTGTTGGCCCTCCACTGAACATGGTGGTATATGTCAAGACTTGGGTTCAAAGCCATTGCTTAGCTAACAATCCGAAAGCAAGAGCCTGAAAAATTGAGACCAAAAAGCATGATTATGAAAATATTTGGAAACTTCTATGAGATGGGGGAGAGTGGAGTAGGCAGCCATTGACAACATTGGTCCTATTTTGTATTATCTGTATAATCTTTTAATATATTTTCATATTTCGTAAACAATTTCAATGTGCACTTAATGCCCTGTTCCTACAAATTTTCATGAAGAATTTACATAATGATTTAATTAATTACGATACAAATGTAACCCTTTAGATACCAGTTTTGATCGTATACCAGTAACTGCTTTTTTGAAAAAATACACTATAATTCAATATTCTAAAAACTATTTTGACTTTATTATTAGTATGATCAGTTGATCCATCTGAATAATAAATGAGGGACTATTAACCTACAAGATTTGTACCATATACTTCATTATAACCACATTTTTGTATTCCCTCCCCCCCTTTAAATCAAAGTGAAACAAATATTTTGCCCTAATTGTCCTCTGCATTTGACCCTAAATGTTATTCTACTCTAATTCTGAGGTGACTTGGTCAAGAGCAATGAAAGGAGTATCTGAACATCCATAACATGCATGTTGTTTTAGGAGTATAATAATTATCTTTATGCTGGTAGGTCTCCCACCCTCGGCGGGTTATCAGCACAAATTATGTCCCCATATGAGAAAATGCATGTCTGCATGTCTGCATGTCTGCATGTCTTTGTGTCCCTGGGCAAAACACTTCACCCCAAATTGCTCCTGTGGGGATTGTCCACAGTATTGAGTAAGTATTATTATTATTAAGTAAGTCGCTTTGGATAAAAGCGTCTAACAAGTAACATGTAATAATGTAATCAAGCTCTCAAGGAGACAAAATGAGAACCTTTTAGAACAATATACATTCAATCAATCAATCAATGTTTATTTATATAGCCCAATATCACAAATGTTACATTTGTCTCAGTGGTCTTCACAGTGTGTACAGAATATCAGTATGACAATACGACACCCTCTGTCCTTAGACCCTCACATCGTACAAGGAAAAACTTCCGGAGAAAACCCACAGTTTAAAGGGAAAAATGGGAGAAACCTCAGGGAGAGCAACAGAGGAGGGATCCCTCTCCCAGGACGGACAGACGTGCAATAGATGCCGTGTGTAAATTGAAAAGATAATACATTTGCAACATAGGTAGTCCAAATGTTTGGAAATGCATGTGTGTACATTCATTTTATACATTCAGCCTTTGTGTTTTCCACAAACTACAGCTGCAGTTTGTAAGGAAATGCTTTCACTCCTAATAATTTGTGTTTTCCAACGGGCCTCCGTGTAAGATTGCCTTTTGCTGCGTACTGAAGCATAGGTGTGCAAATAGGGACCTTAAATGCTCCCCACAGCCTGCGATATTTTTTTGGACAGCTAATGTAACCTTGTTGGACTTCTGTTCCTTCGTCTCTGTGGCTGTCCTGTATTTATTGGCTTAAAGGCTTACTAGACTTTTTATACAGGCACACAGAGTATGACGTCAGGTTGAGTTTCACTATTCCAAATTACCCAGTAAGCATAGGTTGCTTAAAATGGAACTCAGCAGATTATTTAGTGCCTTCTGCGCTATAAATGTCCCTCAGCAACAGCTTCAAGTCCAATATTAGCCTCTCCAAGTTACTGAACTCACATGATAAGAGGTTCAATCAACAAATGACTGATGCATTTGTTAAGCCATAAATCACAGACTTTAATACAGTATGTGCAGTCCCACATACAAAAAAATATAAGGCCAAGAGCAATCTTACTGAGAATAAATATTTCTTAAAGGGAGTCTTGCCTGGGAAATGTCAGTGTCGATCAGGATGTGTGAATGTGTCTCATTCAGAAACTGTTACATAACCACAGATCATTAGGTCTCTTCTCTTGTCTGGACAACAGGGCAAAACCAGCGTACTCATACCTTTGTTGAAAGCTAAAGGTCTTAGGCCTGAAAACTAATGCTGTTCCATAATTTTTTTTTCAAATGTTGTGGTCTTTTTACCAAAAAAACACATTTAAAAATATAGAGTTTCTATTGTCCATCCATCCATCTTCTCCCGCTTATCCGTGGTCGGGTCGCGGGGGTAGCAGTTCCAGCAGAGAGCCCCAAACTTTCTTTTCCCTGGCGACATCAACCAGCTCTGACTGGGGGATCCCAAGGCGCTCCCAGGCCAGCGAAGAGATATAATCCCTCCATCTGGTCCTAGGCCTACCCCTTGGTCTCTTCCCAGCTGGACGTGCCTGGAACACCTCCCTAGGGAGGCGCCCAGGTGGCATCCTAACTAGGTGCCCGAACCACCTCAACTGGCTCCTTTCGACGCGAAGGAGGAGCGGCTCAACTCCGAGTCCCTCCCTGATGACCGAACTTCTCACCTTATCCCTAAGGGAGACACCAGCCACCCTGCGGAGAAAACCCATCTCGGCCGCTTGTATCCGCGATCTCGTTCTTTCGGTCATGACCCATCCTTCATGACCATACTGTAGGTGAGGGTAGGAACGAAAATGGCCCGGTAGACAGAGAGCTTTGCCTTCTGGCTCAGCTCCCTTTTCGTCACAACGGTGCGGTAAAGCGACTGCAGTACCGCTCCCGCTGCTCCGATTCTCCGGCCCATCTCACGCTCCATTGTTCCCTCACTCGAGAACAAGACCCCGAGATACTTGAACTCCTTCACTTGGGGTAAGGACAAGTTTCTATTGTGCCCAATAATATGTTTGTTAATACTTCTGCAATGAATAGAATGAAAAATTCACTTTTTGTTGTTGTGCGTTACCCTA